TGTGACGCCTGCGCACAAACACGGCCTACACGAATGCTTTCCTTACGAAGATAGGTAAGTGGTAGCACCCGCTTTGCTCCCAGTGTAACTCCGCAGAGACAGTAGAACACATTGTGTGTGTCTGCCCAGCATATGAAACTCAACGAGCAGCACTGCGCCAAAGACTTTTCAAGAGCGACCTCACCACAAATGACATCCTTGCACCCAACGGTTCCGGACGAAAGTGCCAGAATACCCTGAAGGCCATGTTGGCATTTCTACGAAACACAAAAACCATAACCCGACTGTAATTTTTTTTTTTTTTTTTTTTAATTTTTTTACGTCATCTGCTAATGCCAGTTACCCAGTGCTAGGCTAACCTAGGTGACGGTTAAATTCAGACGACGAACACACACACACACACACACACCAAGGGACTACAATGCTTTCGCATTCCCACACGTAAGCAGTCTAAGCTGCCTGTGTCGAATTTTCTTTTGTGTTCTCTTGCCGCATCCCCTCAGACACATGCATGTCTGGAATTAAAGATTATTATTATTAATGCAGATTGTTGGGCTAGTCGGTACTGGGATTTTGACATCATGATGGCGCTTAAGACGAGGACAAAAGGGAGACTAGACAACACGGAGCGCTCTTTGTTGTCTAGTCTCCCTTTTGCCCTCGTCTTGACCGCCATCATGACTTCAAATATTATTATTAACTCACGCACACTTGTTTTTGTAATATTTATTTGTATTTTTACAACATGTACACTGGAGAACTGCCATGCGGTTCGGATAAATTAAATTTCAGTATGTCTTCACGTTCCTACCCGTACGAAAATGTCAGATGGGAGCGGTCCCAGTTCGGGTCCGCGGAGTTCTGAACTTCTGGACAGTTCCGATCAGCGCGATTCTGGGCGTAACCAGTCGAATCCAGTGAGACGCAACGCACTGGAATCGCACGGTGATCGGTGAATCTGATCCGCTCCCCTTGTTCCTGTAGGGTCTGCTCCCAGCCAGCGGCTCCCAGCCAGCGGGCGCGCAAACTGTGGGCGCGCATATGCGTGACTGGAGGAGGGGAGGGAGGGGAGGATGGCGGAGAACTTTCGCCACTTTCGCGGTCTCTCGCGTGTCACGTGTTAGGGACAGGCGCCTCCGCTGCATCCCCTACGCGGGCGCTGCGAGCGGGCGTTCTCCGCGCGCGCGCCCGGCTTTGTCTGCGAGTCAGCGAGTCAGTTTAGTTTTGTTCCTCGCGCTCGTTGCACGGTCGGTCGGCGCTCGACCGGCGTCGACGTTCGCGCTGCGGGCGCACGGATACTGACGCGCCCATCGTTGCCCTGGATGGATACCTACTGACCTCGGCTTTGCATCTTTATTCAGTGTGAAGCTGCCGACCCATTGCACTTTGGCTCGGCATCTGGATGCGCTTGGCGCTGGTGTGCTTGGTGACAATACTTGGACAACTCGGATACCGCTTGCCCGCCGGAACTTCCCGATGCACTCCATCACTGGATACTGTGCTTGTGCGTGCTGTGTGTGTGTGTGTTCCGTGCACCGTGTTTGGCGACGACGCGCGCCTTGCATTCATTGTCTGTTGCAGTCAGCGGCAGCGCTTCGACAGTTTCGGTTCTCCGCTCCCGTCGGACTGCCGGCCGGCGGCGACGTTCGCGCTGCGGGCGCACGGATACTGACGCTCCCATCGTTGCCCTGGATGGATACCCACTGACCTCGGCTTTGAATAAGCTGCCGACCCATTGCAGTTTGGCTCGGCATCTGGTTGCGCTGGTGTGCTTGGTGACAATACTTGGGCAACTCCCCTAGTAGCACCATATGTTGCCATAACGTTACTGGAATGTCACAAATGTAATGTAACGTTGGGGCACATTTGGGTATGTTATAGCAACGTTTTAAAACTAACGTAACAGGAACGTTCTCCTGCAACATTGTTTGAATGTCACTGAACGTCATGTAACGTTACAGCACATAGGCAAACGTTCCAGGAATGTTAGAGAAGCAACATTGGAGCAACGTTTAGAAATAACCTCTTGGTAACATTTCCATCCTGACATACGGGCAATGTTTTGCAGCGATGTTGGCCTAATGTGACAAAACGTGACACATCACCACATCACACAGAGACTGGTCAAAGATACACGAAGATACCAAACTTAGAATAGTTCAATGTTGATTTTCTTGTTCAAACATTTTTATTTTTATACAAACAGAAAGACCGCTCTAATGCTTGTGACTGGCGTGTTTGAAACAAATGTTCAAAATGTACTCTAGAAAGATTGCAGAAAACTAAAAAAAAATCTGTCCAAAAGGTTTATAATAAAATTGAATTTATTTGTGTGTGTGGCATTTCCCTGCACAATTTTATAATCAAGTTTAACATCATAATGGCCTAAGTGGTAGTGCAAGGCTGGCAAACTGATAATGATCATGGCTTACATTTCATTGCCATAGAATTGTCCAGTGAGCCTCAACTCGATAATTAAGGTGAACAAAATGGTTTGATGTCGCCACACTAAAGCAGACGCAAACACACTAAGGCACCCTACTGTGGTTTTCGTCATACTACGAACGAAAACACAAACCAACAGATCTTGTCGAGAAGTCTGTTAAGACTTGCCTGTTTGAGCTGGTTTCCTTCCTGGCCCTTCACCCGTCTCGGATTGGCGAGTCTGCTCAATATTCACGAGCTAGCATGCACCCTCATCGTTGCTTTCAGGTCAGGGTCATTCGGATGCCCAGCTTTTGGAACGCATGCTCAAGATAACAAGAGCGTGAAGTCATGGGGTGTTATTGTGTTATCGAAGGTGGAAAACTCACGCTGGTGACATGACGACCCAAAGACCTCCCGAACATGTATAGGATGGCATGAGTGGTAGCCTGTAAATTAATTTAGAACACGTAGCTAGCTGAAATTATCACCAAAGGTGTATTTTAATGGTGTGCTCTATTGCATTATATTCGAAGCGTAGCTCTGTTTTTGTGAAAAATATGAACATGATTACCCTACGGCCAGGTCGCAGAGAGCTCTTGGGGTCAACCGACTACTCTATCCCACCGGAGCTTGCTGCAAAATGATTTCTACTATTTAAAATAGAAGCGAGGACTAATTTCACAACGGACTCAGGTCAAATCGAGCGATTGGGTGGTTCTTACTCTCGCCCTGTCTTGGTTGTCTGCGCCAGTGCTTGCCATAGAGATTTAGAGAAATCTTGGAGCATGCAGTATAAAATACACCCTGGTTGAAAATTTGAAATAGTTACATGCGGAAGCTCATATATCAGTCCAATTTACAGCTCACCACTATATTTATTCGGAAAACTCAAAAAGTGGCGGCTCATTGCAACATACTGCAAGTGAGACGACTGGCAGTAGCCATTGTCTCATAGACGGAGGAGGGGAAAAGGGAGACGGTTGAAGGGGAAGGTGAGCGAGGAGATGGGAAGGAGAATAGAGGCAGGAAGAAAGAGGTCAGTTATGAAGGTCGAAGGCCGAAAACACACGCTCACGCAAGGAAGTTAGGAGACGGAAGGAAAAGGGGACTAAGCATGAAAAGCTGAGGGAGCATGAAGAGAAAGATGAAGAGAAGTGGGGCAGGGAGGAGCAAGAGCGGACGGAGGAGAGGAAAGAGGGAAGGAAGAGCACACAGAGGAAAGATGAGACCAATGGGGGAGAAGGAGTGGAGGGGAATGAGGAGATGAAGTGGGGTGGGGCCAGGTAAGACGTAAAACATCACAGGTATTGCTGTGATGTTTTACGTCACGGCCACCGTTGGACGAACGTCAAGATCGCACATCCCTGACCACTCAAAATGAAGAGCCATATGCACCTGCCACCAAAAAGAAAAGGTCAAAGGCCATGAACACAAAATCACTCAAACGTGAGAGAAGGGGGAAGAGGGGAGGAAAGGTGAGGTGGATGGGTAGCGGGAAGGGGAAGGTGGACGGGAGAGTAGAGGAAGAGGGGAGGGAGGAATGAGGAGACCGAGGAGATAGTAGGGGAGATGGCGAGGAGGTGCAGTCAAGGGTCCGAAGTCGAGATCAAAGCTTAAAGGCAACGAACATAAAATCCTATGGAGGTAGGGGAGGGGGAGCAAGGGGCCGCTGGCATTAAATCATGCGAGGAAATGAGGAGGGAAAGGTTAGGAAAGGCAACATAGGAGAGATGGGACGGGAATGGGGTGAGGTGAAAGAACAGTGATTGAGGAGAGAGGGGGGGGGGGGGGGGCAGGTAGGAAGGAGATCCAGCATCAAGGGCCACGGATACACGGACGCACTCCGCCGACCACTTAAAATGAATGGCCGAAAGGACCATGCACGGCCACTACCGTAAAAGAAGAGAAGTGAAGCGCGCGGACGAGTGAGTGATGATGATAGCGCATACTATTGTTGAACAATATTTCCAGCGCCCGGGCGACTGTGCGTCACTCGTGTGTTTCTGCTTCGCTCGCAATTAAAATGAAACGAGTATAATCGCACACACATAGTTAGTCCTCGTTCACTTCTCGCCAAAGAGCTGTCGACACAAGTGGTCAGAACAAAACCAAACCATCTCGGGACATAAAGCTCCAATATTTGAGTTTGAGGCTTCGAAGCTCGCTCTGCGTGGACCACTCTTTGCCTACATTTGTTATCTGGACACATCACAATGGCACAGCACAGTCGCATAGCTACGGTACTACCGTTTCGACGTTAACAGTTCACTATCATTACCGATCTTACGGTCGAGGTCATCCACTGATTCACTCCAAGGCGTTGCAAGATCACCATATCACCACCGTCCACCATGATTGCACAAGTACGGCTTTACGGTTATGGCTGTACGGCTTATACTAATTTCCTATTTCTCCAACCGATCTCATGTTTTATAATTCTTAAAGAAAACTTAATTTAGAACTGTCGGATAAATTTCCAGAGTTAATACCTACTTGACACTTCATATTTAGTCGTTTACTCACACTGTTGATAAGCCAAGACGCCAAGATGCAGCCAAGATGTGCTAGTAGCTCAAGCCAAGCAAGGTCGAAGCCAGGTCGCCAGCCAGCCAGGTCGGCCAGGTTGACCACGTGACCGCATGTCAACGGACCCTCAAAGCCCGATTCTGTTTCATCGGACCGCTCTGCCGCTCTCTCGGCGTGGAGGAAACGTAAACAAAGGTATGTTTCATTTTTGTTTTTGTTGCTACTTGTGCTGAACAATGGAGCGGGCGAAGCGTTCGCTATCAGAGCTATCTGATCGCCAAAAAAGACGTAGGGTAGCCGAAAGTGTTCGCAAGGAACTTGAAATTTGGGATACGAGCAGTGAGGAGTCGGTGGACACTGAGGAAGCATTCCCTCTGCCACCTGGACAACAGGCCGTGGCAGCACATGCAAGATTTGCGGAGAGTTTGAGTACCAACGAGCTTCCGAGTGCGAATCTGAGACGAGCGATACGGGTGGTGCACGAAATAACCTAATCTCAAAACACCTGTGTCAAAATCCCCGCTGCGAATTCCCCGCGTTACCTCTCCCGTCTTCAAAATCCCCTTTCCTTTATCCCCTTGTCAGTTCCCCCGGGCCAGTGCTCCTTAGAAGCCATTTGGAAAAGCGCTTTTATGCACACTTCATAAAGCTCAGCTGTGCTATGACGACCCTAGCCGGGAGGCACTCACTTGATCGAATGACGTTTTAGCGAACGCCCACGTTTCATCGAACGACACTTTAGCGAATAGTCGGACGCCGCGGAGCGGCGTTTTCGGGTGGGCCAAGCGAGTTCATATTTTTGTAATGAGTTGCCGCAGACTGTCGCCGCGAAGCGGCGTAAAGCGCAGCGCGACGGATGGGTTAACGCGCGCCCCCGTTATTCGCTAAAACGACCATTCGCTCAAATGACGCCGTTCGCCAAAATGTCATTCTCTCTTGTGATATGGACCCTCAAGCAACACCGAGACGGACCTGAGCCGCCAAGCTTCAAGGGAACCCAGTGCAGTGAGCTTGTTTTAGACGGAGCGCATTTTTCTCTGAAGCCGTCCGAAAACTGTGTTCAACTGAAGGGTGGCAACATTGCTGTCGTTGGGAACTTCATAGAGATAGCAATGACAAGCTAAAGGCCATTATGGGTAGCATTTTTGGACATCAAAGGGGCATATGACAATGAGAATCAGGAAATACTTTGGGAACTGCTAAAAGGGTATGGCCTAGGGGGAACCACGGTTAAGTTCCTAGAACGGGTTTATACGGAGAATAGGGTGATTATGAAATGGGAAGCCGAAACTACAAAACCAGCAGCAATAAAAAGAGGACTTAGACAGGGTTGCCCATTGTCTCCCCTGCTCTTTATGATATACCTCAGTGGGATGGAAAAAAGGTTAGAACAGTGCAACCTAGGTTTTGACCTGAATTACATGGAGGAAGGACATAAGGTAAATCAACTATTGCCAGGGTTAATGTATGCAGATGACATTGTACTCGTATCAGAAAGCCGTGAGACAATACAGGAACTGATTAGGATTTGCAGCAGGGAAGGGGACAGTTTAGGACTAAAATTCAGTAGGGACAAGTCGGGTATAATAGTTTTCAACGATGAGAAGAGGGAACCCCTGGAGATACAGGACACAGTGATAGAACACATAGAAAAGTACAAATATCTAGGGGTCTGGCTCAATGAGGGAAGGAAATATCTAGAGGAACACGAGGAGAATACAATTAGAAAAGGGAAAAGAAATTCATCTATTATGAAGCTCAAGGCACTATGGAACTATAACAGATATGAAGTGGTCAGAGGTATATGGAAGGGAGTGATGGTGCCAGGACTGTCTTTTGGCAATGCAGTGCTGTGCATGAAATCTGAGGTTCAATCAGGGCTAGAAATTCGACAAAGAAGCGTAGGCAGATTGGCGCTGGGAGCACATGGAAAAACACCAAATGAGGGAGTATAGGGGGACATGAGATGGTTGTCTTTTGAGAGCAGGGAGGCAATTAGTAAGTTGAAATTTGAACAAAGGTTGACTGAAATGGAGGATATGCGGTGGGCACGTAAGGTATTCAAGTATTTATACATGAAAAGTTTAAACAGAAAATGGACGAACCGAACCCGAAAGCTTACATATAAATATCTACACACTGGTGATGGGGCTGAACAGACTACGTCAGTGAAAAAGAAGGTGAAAGAGGCGGAGAGGAAAATGTGGGAGGGGAGAATGCAGGAGAAATCAGCTTTAGCAGTGTACAGGTCACGAAAGCAGGAGATAAGAAAGGAAAAGCTATTTGACAATTCACTGGGAAGTGCTTTGCTGTTCGAGGCAAGAACGGAAGTTTTGAGGACGAGGACGTATAGGGCTAAATTTCAGGAGACAGACACATTATGTGCCGCCTGCCATAATGATAGTGAGACACTGGATCACTTGGTTTTGAAGTGCACGGAGCTTCGTCCTGCCCTCTCTGAAGGGGTAACGGATTTGGCCGGGACCCTGGGGTCCACTGGCGACGATGGAAGGACGGTAGAAAAAAAGATTACAGCGACAAAGAGACAATTAGAAAATTGGTGGAAATTATCTAGGGAAAATTAAATGATGGGCAACTAACTAGCACAGCTGGGAACAGGCGGGACAGAGGAAAATTGGGACTCCCTCCCGCGTGGTTTCGGTCCAAAGTCTCAACCCTGTCTCCCAGTGGGTCCGGTGCTGGGGTAACGCCGAAAAGGTTTGACCAGAGAAAAATTGGCGACTCCCTCGCCGGGGGGAAGAGGCAGGGGGGTGATGTTTTTTAGTTTTTTTGCCCGATCCCCCGAAGGTCATCCTGGTGATATCCCACACTGCCTGGTGATAGTTAGGGGGAGAAAAATTGGTCTTAAAAGGGCGGGAGGAATCACGTTTTTGTCTTTTTAGACTTAGGCTAGGTGGCGCAAGCTTCCGCCCGTTACAAAGGGAATAGCCATTAACATCCATCCATCCATCCTTCATTGAGTCGGATGGGAACCGTAGCATCTGCGGACAGTTTTTCCGGAATCTCAGCAACCTTTATACTTCAAAGTTGCCATCATCAGAGCTAGGAATTTTTAGAGCTACAGGGCTCTCCAAGTAGTATTCAGTGTGGAGTGTGCAGGACATCAGGTGGAAGTGCGTCTGCTTGCAATATAACCAGGGCTATGCAGTTTTTCTTCTACTTCACTTGCAAGTGGGATCAATGTTTGCAACCGTTGCACATCGGTTGTGCTTAATTCGAAAACTGTATTTTTCGTGGCTTATGAGTGGCCTTTGAGGTAATACAGGCTTGATTTGTTGATTTCAGGAAATGTACTCTGTTGTCCATTTATTTGTTGCTTTATTTGTTGATTTCAGGAAATGTACTCTGTGGTCCATTTTTTGGCGGAAAATGATGTTGCAGTTGTTCCTACCTGTTGGGCGTCCAATGGCCGCACGGCATGGCCACCCTACAGATCAAATCGGTTGATGATGGCAATTGAGAGCGTGAAGAGCCCTTTACTGACTGGGCCACATTCTCCTGTCAGGTGATGGCATCATGTTGTAAGTATAGCGGGTGTCTAGCAACCGGGAATAGTCAAGAATATTTTAATTACCGGGAAAAATCAGGGATATTGTCAAAAAGCGAGCCCAGTCAAGGAAAACGAGCCACAAATGCCATTGAGTGCCCTGAGCAAGGAGTTGAGAACCTTGGGGCAGAGAAATAGGCTCTAAGCAGAGCCGCGCTCTGCTTAGAGCAGGGCGCGGGCTCTGCTCACCTAATGTAGAGTGTGCTAGAGCACTGCACGAGCCAGAATTTCTAGGCCCGGCCCGACCCGGCCCGGTAGGGGCATGGCCCGGGCCCGGCCCGAGCCCGATAGAATATTTAATTTCCAGGCCCGGCCAGGCTTGGCCTTGAAGAGACACGGCTCGGGCCCGGCCCGGACCCGGCAGAATTTTAGACAGAAACTTGAGCCCGGCCCAAGCCCGACAAAATATTTGTTTTGTTTAAAGGGCAACTCCGCTTAATTTCAAAAATTTTGAGATAGTGGCCGATTTTGCTTTTTGAAGCACTCAAAAACAATCCCCGATCCTTTGTTTCGCGAAAAATAAAATATTTTTCGTGTAATTTTACTCTAGCCATGATCACAAACCGAAACCGAAACGGTGGCAAAGCCGGACAACATTGTATATTCGGCATCACTAAGCATGTACACCCACGTGATATACAAGGGAAGAAGGAGCTCCCCCCTTATCAGGACCCTCCTTTGTGCCTCCTGGATTAGCACAGGCGTCGCTATTCTCCTCCCAGAAGATTATAGAAGATTAACCTGTCACTCAAAATTCTTACAAAAGCAGCTTCCCTCTCCCCCTCTTACTTGGTGTTCAAACGTATGCGATGTAACACAAGCCGCGCTCAACGAGGCGATCGGCTTATCAGTAGTATCAATAGTCGAGCGCCGGGCCGGCCGAGCGCGTCACTCACGTCTTTCACGGCGCTGGCGCCACCCGTGCTCTCCCCGGGAAAGAAAACAAAATTGAAAAAAAAAAAAAAAAAAAAAAAGAAGCTGTACATGTTTGATGACGTCGCGGACGTGCCGGGAGAAGGAATTTGGAGGAAGCGGAAATGCAGCCGGGCAGTGTTGTCTGGCCCGCACGTCTCATCCAAAACCAGCGGATTCGTGCTTGTCAAACTTTGACAGCGATTTTAATGAACTTCTAGGCGGAATTCCGTCGTAATATTTGCTATGGGGGTTTTGTAGATGATAACAAAGATAACTGTATAGCTTTGCACTACTGGAAAAGAAGCGGAGTTGCCCTTTAATATAAGCCTGAGCTTGGCCCGATCCTGACAGATTATATACATGAGCCCGAAAAAGTTGGCAGGCTTTAACCTAAAAACTGTCTAAGCATAATGCGAGCATATTTGATTTAATGAACAAAAGGTTAGGGCGCAAACGAGCTTGTGGTGGTTAAACATTTGACTGGTGTGCTCGGCTTTCTTGTTTCAGTGACATATGAAGATGCAAAGTTCAAAGAAAAAAAATCCGGAAGCGACGTCCGACCTATCAACGAATAATGAAGAGCGGGAGAAAAGAAAAAGGAAGAGACTGCTCCTTTTCGGTCAAGCTTGCCTCTTCTGCAGGAACGACCTAGCACTCAGCCAGCCCCTCAACTTCCAGAACGTGCACCAGTGCCCAAGCAAAAACGCACACGTGTATGTTTGCTTTTTGTTGCTACAATTTCTTAACGCTTTATAGCTTTTAGATTTTTTATTTTATGTGATTAGCCTCAGCTTGGTTAGCCGCAATTGTGATAGTGAATGGTATCCATATTGTTTATTGAGCACCTGCTGTTTTGGTGTTTCTTTTACAGCGCAGCTCTTAGGCGCCCGTTTTTGGCTTGAGCGGTGTCGCCGTCGCCGTAACCGCGGCGACGTTCCGGCACCGTGCCGAAACGTCCCCGCTGGGTCACGTGACCTCCCGAGGTCACATTACCCCCCTTCAGGAGGGTCACGTGACCTCACAGTTACGCCGACGGCGACGCCGCTCGGAGGGAGGGGGGAGGGGTACACCCTTTCCTCCTCCTCCTCTAGAGCTGCGCTCTAATTTGTCGTTACAGGGAGTTGTAAACGGCTTCCATTTTTTTATCTAGTCATTTTTAATTTACAAAGCTGCTAGTTGTGGTATGCATTCTCGCATAAGGACGGTTATACCCGTCCTTGAAGCAGTAATCTGTCTCCGTGGCCCATGATACGGGGAAAAGAAAAGACGTGTCTCCCCTCTTTGTTAATTTATTATAACCGACAGAACCGTGGACCTGCCGGATATTCGACATACAGTTTATATACTGCATGTCGAAGATTTGTTGGGTCCACGGTTCTGTCGGTTACACAAAATTGCCGAAAAGGGCAGAGACGTCTTTTTTTAAGAACATATATGTTCTTAAAAAAAAGCTATTCTCCTAGGATAAAATGAAAACAAAGTTAAATCGACAAATACAAAATAAAAAAGGCGCTGCGGAAAATAGCTGTTTCCCTCTTAAGAAAGTGCCTTTCACGCATGAATAGAGGGCTGAAGTGGGAAAATGTGAGTGGCCGAGAACAGCCGCCTACCTCGCCGGAAAAGACTAAGTCTCGTATCCACTCAAGTTTCAATATGATAGCAACCTTCTATGATTCGGTAGCCAACGTTTAGGTAGACAAAAAATTTACCGGGTAGTAATTATATTTCTGGTGAATTTAGAGCGGCATCAAAGCTATTTCAAAAGCGATAGTAAATTATGCAAAAAGAATTGTATTACTCTAAAATTTAGTAAAGGGAAATTCAATGAAACGGCGTCAAGTGATTTAATGAAACGGCGTTCGATGAAATGTCCTGTACCCAGTTTGTCGAACCGAAATGTTTTTCGTTCCGCTTTTCGTTCCGGTTCAGGGAGAACGGTTCAGTTCCGGTTCAACTCCGGAGTGAAAAAATAAAGGTTCAAGCCGGTTCGAACCTGTTCGTACTCATATGCTTCAAAAACAGTTGACGAACAAAAGATAAACTATGCATATTGTATAAAAGTGTTACAAATAGAAAGCAAAGGCTCACATTACTGTGTGGAACGAACGAGCTAGTGCTGGGGCACCTCGGGACGTGGGTAAAAGCGCTGTTCAATGTCAGGCAGCTGACCGAAGAAGCATATCCGGGGAAAGACGGCCCCTCTGAGACGATAGAATGAACTTCAGTCCAGAAAAGGCTCGCTGCGCGCTGACCTGGGTCGCAGGCACTCCCAGGGCTCTTGCGCCAATGGGTAGAGTTCTGGATGGCGTCCCCTTCTTTCCTCCCAAAACTGTAACACGTTAGCGTCCCTTCAAAGCCGCGGCTCCTTGTCTAGCAATGCTCAGAAGAGCTGTGCGCCTTGATGTTTGTGTTTCTGAGGAGAAAATGTTTTGGTCCTTGCTGTTTCTGCTACCAGAGATCAAAGCTTTTTTGCTGTTTTCTGTAACTGTAACTGTTGATTAAATCCCCTCTCCCCTTCCCGGTGCTAGACTTTAATTTCGGACTGATTATTAAATCCGCTGAGTTAATTGGAGAGCAGATTAGATGCGCCACAGTATGGCAACTAGTGCAGGTTCTAAAATATCCATCGGCCTTTGTATCACTTTCTTATCCGATCAGTTGTACAATGAAATCAAGGCGTCTAAAGTAAATTGAACTCAATTCTACAAAATTAGAGACAAGAAACACGCAAAAAAGTTAAACTAAGCCCGAAAAAAAAAACAAAAAAACACAAGGACAGAGAGAGGTATAGACAACACTAGGGGTGTTGTCTATACCTCTCTTTGTCCTTTTTTTTTTCGTTCAGTCCGTGATGAAAAACCACCTAGCCCAACTTACCGTTTTGCCACCAAACAGGCTCATTATGGTCACTTTTGCTAATGTACGAATTGTGTATGTTCTAGTGTTAAATTTTCTTTGAGGAGGCATTTCCGGTCACCAAGAAAAGGTTGGGACGAATGTGAACTTTTGTTAAAGAAATACATAAGACCAGAAATCCCGGAGAATTTATAGTTACTCTGCTAATTTCGTTTGAGTTCTCGAAACAAACTATAAATTATGAACACGACCGTTATCTGACAACCTGATAATGGAACGTTACAGAGCTTTTCGCTTTTTGACTTTCCACATAAACGGAGCACCACAAAAATAATTGATCAGTTTTGCCCAGGAACGAAAAAAGAATTATTTCGGTTCAGCTCAACTCCGGTTTGCGCAAAAATATTTTTTTTGTCTTTCATTCTTTGGTTTACTTTTAAGGTTACTGTGTTTTTCGCCACGCACTTTTCACGCAATCTGACTTTGCGTATGAACCGAAAACCGCATGGAAAAATATCGGTTCCGCTCCGGAGCGAGAAAAATTATTTCGTTCCGGGTCAACTCCGGTTCTTGCAAAAATAACGTTTTTTTTCGGTTCACGGTTCGGGTTAGGTTCAATACCCTGCCTGTACCCCATTGCCCCACGTTGTTAATGAGGACGGAGGGAATCGTTTTCGGGAGAATTGATATGACTAGTTGATAAGACTGCTGATCAGCTGCAAGTGCCATGTTTCTGGCTCTCATGGTGCCATTCCAGTCATAGTCATATGAACACCCTGAGAAGGCTGTGTAAAGGTGCCCTGTGGACCAGTTGCTACACTAGTTTGTTGTGATTATAAAGAAATGAGTGCTGGACAGGGCCCCAATTACTGCCTAAAAATCTTTCTAGCATGTTTTCATTAGGTCCACATTAGGCTTCAGCTAGCTAGAGAGTTTGTTTTGCTAGCAGGTACCTTTTTATGCTTCAGTGTAAAGAAGTTGAAAGAGGCCTAGAAGGAGAGTGAGAATCAGACACATGGCATGGTTTTCTGTGGGACTGCCATATCAGGTTGTTGGCCAAACGTGTTGCCAGTGCTCAGCCATCAAAACATGCTTGAGCAGGCGCATCACTCCTTGTGGGTAGGTCACACTTTGCGGAAAAGGTCTAAACTGGATGAAAAGAATGGCTTGTGCATGCAAAGAAACTGAGGCGAAACTGTGTTAGGACAGAGGTAGGCATTTTTTTTTATCTTGATGACACTCTCTGCACTGAAATAGGCACCCATTATCTGAACGCAACCAACTTTTTTGTTTTATTTTTTTGCAGGAGCAGCGTGCCTCTTCCCAGGAGTGACTGAGGGGCTGCCACAAGGGGAGAAGGCAAGCATGTTTCTGATTACAAGAATGGACAGTTGGGCTGGGCTAGTTGGTAAGAATTGATGTTGAAAAACGGTGCAAAAACCAGACAAAGAGAAAAGAACACACAGCACCTTGTCCTGTGTGTTCTCTTATCCGTGCATTTTGCACTGTTTTTCAGCATGTTTGTGCCTTGATTTTTCTGTTATAGTTTTAAATGTCTGTAGTTGGTTACTTTGATCCCTGTTGGAAGCATGGAATTGGTTAACCGTCTTAAATGCATGGAATTGAAAAAAAAAATTCATGTTACCTAACTCATTTAAAAGCTTTTTTTTCTGCTGCTTGCTGCTTGCTTTATGTTGCTGGGAATTTTAATATTTTGCATTTTTATTTCCATGCAGATCAGCCTTGTAATTTAGCGTGTTCTTTACAATTTTGTAGATCTAATAGCTTGTAAGAAACAGAAGCATACACTGGTACTTGTAACGTTTGTTTCGTTTTTGAAATAAATTTATTCCAATAACCTCTTGTTTTCTTCCGGAGTCTTGCTTCTAGGACTTCAAAATGCTGATTCATTAATGGCCTGTAATGCTCATCCATTTACTCATATCAGGCACCAGCTCAAAAAATGACTTCATGACAACCATATATGCAGTTTCTTGGCAAAGCTTGTCAATGTTAGTAATTTTCGGGTAACATTGTTCAATAATGTCCAAGTAACACATGCAGTAATATCTGGCCAGTGCCAGCATTTTGTTAAAATGTTTACTGAAAGTTGACAGAATAAAAGCACTGAGGACAAACACAGATGACCGCTCTTTCATTTAGTTGTGACGCTTGTTTTTTGGAAGCAAAGACTCGCACACAGGTCAAGATTAACTGCAAATGGAATGCTTGATCGAGGGAACTTCAGGAAGATAAGGGTTGAGTCAGTGACACTCCATGTGTTTCAGTCAAGGTTCCCAGATTTTTCCAGTTCTGGCCCTTATCTCCCTATCCCCCTCTTCACTCCCGCCTTCGGTATCTAGTTGATCTCGACCTGTGTGCGACTCTTTGCTCCTGAAAAAATAAACGTTGTTGCGAAATGAAAAAGTGCTCGTTTGTGCATGTTCTTCGCGTTTTTATTCCTTCACTTTTAAGTAAGCCGTAATGTCAGAGCAACATTTTGGTGTAACATTACTGGATGGTAGAATTCGTGGCCATTAACAACAATTGGCAACGTTAGCTGACGTTAGCTGAACATCACTGATCTAACGTCCAGGTAACATAGAGAGCTACGTTACTGCAACATTTTGATGCGACGTTACTGGGAGGTAGAACTGGTGGCCATTAGCAACGTTTGGCAACGTTATCTAACAACGTTCCAGTAACATTATTTGGGTAATGTCCAGGTAACGTATGCAGTTACGTTACTGTAACATTGTGGTGTAACGTTACTGGACGGTAGAATCCGCGGTCGTTAGCAACGTTCGGCAACGTTGCCTGACAACATTCCAGTAACATTGTGGCTACGTTTAGTGCTACTTGGGTCGGATACCGCTTGCCCGCCGGAACTTTCCGACGCACTCAACACTGGATACTGTGCTTGTGCGTGCTGTGTGTGTGTGTTCCGTGCACTGTTTAATGACGACGCGACGACGCCTGGACGACCGTGTGCGCCGCCATAATTACCGCTGCGCTCACCACTGGACTCTACAGAAGCCTTCCGTGCGATGCCCTTAGCCGTTACAAGCGAGAGATCGTCGCGATTTCAGACCCACTCCGCCTGGGTCTAAAATCACGACGATCTCTCGGTTGTAACGGCTAAGGGCATAACACGAAATTCTTTTGCAGAGTCCAGTGGTGAGCGCAGCGGGAATTCCGGCGGTGCAACGGTCCTGGATTTAAAAATGGGACTGGAACTACGCGGTTCCAGGCTGGATACAAGCTGGTGCCCCAATTTTGGGTCTAGGCGGAACCGGCATTTTTCATTCCGGCCTGAATCTGACATTTTCGTACGGGTATCACCGTCTGCACGTTCACGTTCCAATGGCAAAACACTTTAGACCGTCCTCTCCTTTCAAACGACAACGAACCGTAGACCACATGAAGGTATATGCACGCTGTCTTCACAATAATTGCATATAAAATAATAATAAGCCTCTAAAGACTTATAAACTGAATGGGTCTTCAGGCTCAATTGACTCAGTGTAAGCAGGAGATACAATTGCTCAACATTGTAACCGGGAGAAAACGCTGACTTGTTATGTCTAATTTACATATTTCGATTCTACTTGAAATGATCAGTTTCGTCGTCGAGCACCGCAGTTTCCGCCTACAATTATTTTGCAGCACGAGAGACTTCGCAGCTGGAAATAGCGAGCAGAATCACCACCAAGAATCTTTAGGCCATTCATAAAAGCTATGCGATGCTAGCGGGAACCAATCGGAGCTCGTGCCATAACATTGAGTGCAGATTGAGCACGCGTTCGCTAGGGCCCCATTTCCCAGTTTAAAATCTACGAGAAGGCTCTATTAGGGCCCTTTCGTAGATCGCGCAGTGCGGATGGCGGGCAGACTTGTTCACAACGCGTTACAAGTTAGTTGTAGTGAATTACATATTGTAGACATTTTGTAACGCCTCCATTACATTTCTTGAGCTGTAACGATTCTGTAATTCAAACACTTTTTTGAGTAATAAATTACTAGTAATCCATTACTTTTTTACTTCAGGTGAGGTTTCTAAACCAAAGAAATATTGTTTTACTAGAGCAACTAAACCGGAATGCCTGCGAGGTTGTTTCAGAAAACGTTTATTGACCTAGTCACCCAGGTATACAGCGAAAGATTTCTTTTTAATTGAATTTTCGAGAGCACCAAGCAGCGTTTGCAAGACCTAGGGCCGGTTGCACCAACGCCGCTTAGCGCAAAGCGGAGCTTAGCCGGGAACTTAAGCTAAGTTTTGGTTTCGTTCGGTTGCACCAAACTCGCTTATCGCTAAACCTAGCACTAAACTACGCTTAACTTAAGCGCTCAACATTGGGCGCTTAGTTTTTGGTTGTTTCTTAATCCTGGATTTAAAACATGGCGGCTGGTTTGTCGTGGTCGACGCGGTGGACGAAATTGGTTGTACAAAGTGTTTTAGGCTACAACAGCGTGAGAGTTTCGACAGAATGACCTTCGATTGTGACGAGGATGTAAAATATCGTCGCGTGAAGTGTTTATCGACCCCTGTTTTCAAGTTGGCTCCCCACTTTCAGTGCGTGTTAGCCCTAACCGAGATACGTACGGAGCTGTGGGGCTCACGTCTGTCTTCGCGTTGGTTATTCTGTCCACGACCAACTCTATTGATTCTGTCAACGAGCTTATTCGTATGTACTTTCTGATTTTCGCATAACTGTAACGTATTGTTATTTACCACTTTGTTTATTTCTGCTTGCAACGCATATCCTTCAATCCGATCAGCGCGTTGAATAGTGGCAGTACATGATCTCGGCGATCAGCTGATTGTCGACACCTCCGCCGGTTGCATGAGATTGCGGCGGTTTTAAATAATAAAATAGCAAAAATTCAATTTTTTTCGTTTTCTAAATTTTGAGACAGCCTTTAGTGAATTTTCCTTGTCTCGCGAGTAGAATCTTGCCTTCTAAAAACTGTATCGTTCCATAACCGTAACTTTTCTGGTGATCGCGCTTTTTAGGAATATTTTGGCGACGACAAACCGTAACGACTACAATGCGAGATTCGTTCAGCGCTGTATTGGGGCAGGCTGGGGCCGGTGATGCGAAGAGACGACCGTTCTCATCGGCATGATGTGATGTACTTGTGGGAGTTTCCGTACTTTGAAGTCTGCGGCCATCTATTGGTATGAACTCCAGATCTGCCTGTTTTCACTCGCGAACGAGCTTCTGGTTCTCTATCAGCAGAAAGTCAAAGAAAAAAAACCGGTTCTGGGTGACATTTGCGTGTTCAAAAATTGACAGTTTGTACGATCATCAAGGGATTTACCAGTAGTATCGTTTTGGTGAGTTGGTAGTTATACATTCTTTCCCCTTCACTAAAACAAAATATACGTAGTTCCATTACCAAAGGGTTTGACACAATCAAGCCATTTAAAGGTGTCATTTCGGTGGTGACTGCACACCCCTTTCTATGCAGTCACCAACGGTAGAACATGTCGATCTCAGTTGCGGTAGGCGCACTGTGGAGAAAAAGTTGGTCCACCAGCTGTTGATCGGAAGCATTCTGGTACAGTATCCAAATCACTGGATAGGAGCATGGTTTTTAACAAATGGGCTTTTAAGGCAGATGTTGAAAGAGATCAGGTTTGGTCTTTTCCTATAAGATGAAGGCTTCACTTGCTTACACGACATCATGACACTAGTTGCAGCACCAGAGACGATTGCTTTAGGGAGGAAAGACAGGGCTCATGTTTGCATCTCACAGCATGCATCTCAGCTGCATGCTGTGACTATCACATGCCTTAAAGTTTTGTTCAACATCCCTTCAACTATGTGCTCCCATTTTGTATGCTTAAAATGCTGTGTGCAGTGGCACAAGCAGGGGGGTAGTTTGAAAAGTCAAACCTGCCCCCCCCCCCCCCCCAAACCCCCTCCCTGAAATCATCACTTTTTCTTTTTTTTTTGTTAGTAAAGCAAGACAAATATTGAAGGACTACCACCCGAAGGTTTGGGACGGCTGTGCCTGTATCCGTCAGTCGTAGAGTACATTAACTACTATACGCAAATATGAAAGAAAGCCCCCCCCCCCCCCCCCGAATATAATTCCTGCTACACCAGAGGCTGTGTGTATGCATACATAGACATATCCACCTTATGGAAGGGCAGTAGGATGTACAGAAATGGCTGTTTCCCTGATTTCAAGTTCAGCCTGACAACTGGACACTGCACTTTCCGGCATTGTGGCAACAGCAATTCTGCATAACATGGTGCTTGAACTGATCGAAGCAGTACTTCCTGTGGATCTGAAGCTGTAAGGCATTGGTGTGTTTTCCTAGCTATGCCAACCGAACAGTCGCCTTGCAGGCTCTGATAAGAGCAACACTAAGACCATTCTCGTCAACTGTGTGTTTACAACACGCCTAAGTGCTAATAGGCATGTCTTCAAAATGCTGGATGGGCATCATGAGCAACACCATCCTTTGAGAAGTTTTCTGGTCTACAAGTGGATGCTCTGTATTGTAGAGAATCATTTTTACCTTTAGTTTTTATTAATTTCACAACTAGCTTTTTTATAAGTATTACATTTTACTGTACTCATGTATACTGGGGCAGCTTCTGCAGTTGTATTCTCCTACAATTCATTTGTGCGAGTGGTCTGGTACATCATTTGCACTGGTGTTACTGTCCCTAATCTCATTTTGTAATTGATAGACCAGAAGTCCAAGTTGGGCTAGTCTCATATTTGCAAAAAGGAAGTGGTGGACTTAACACTTTGCCACCCTAGGCAGTCTAAAAGTGCCACCTCCCCCTACACTCGCATAAACATACATGCGGACAGATGGTTTCACCTCAGTTTTAGGGTATTCTTGATGGTGGTTACCAACGGCCCCTCTGTAACAACCTGTATGAGGTTGAAGTTACTATGGTCTACGATGCCGTCTAACGATGAGATGCGCAAAAGTTTGAACTTGGTTGTAGTAAAGTAATTTTTGATGCATTTCAAGCACGATGAAAATTGTTTGTTGGTGCAGTACCCCACAGACAAGCAGAGCAGCACAAAACATATCAGTCTGGATGAAGTCGACAATTCTCTTTATGAAGGCGTCTACTCCTATCAATATCTTCTAGTAATCATTGGTCAGTGTCTCCTCCATTCTCTGGGTTTTTCTTCTGGATCCGTGTTCCTTTGATTACATGGAGTTTCG